TTTTGGGGGGGGGGTTCTGATTTGCACTGGTACTTTTCAACATCAGACGAGTGGGTGCAAGTGGTAACGCAATTGGATGAACCCTGGCCAATTTGACACTTTCTTTGTAGACACCAAAATTTTTGTTTGGAGATTGTAAGAAAGCCTTTTGCTAAAGTCTTTCAAACATATGTGGTTTGTTTCGTTTGCGCTGGAAAAGTGTTTCTGGGACGGTTTGGGTGGTATTCGAAACATAACTCACGCGAGCAATCTGGCCACAGCGCATCTCCAGGCAGTTCGTCAGCATCACAGGTTGATCGACCGAGCAGGTTCCAATTGCCATCCGTGTCACAGCTGTAACCGTCCGCGGGTCGGCAGGCGAACTCGTGCCGCGCGTTACAGGCCACAGTGCAGAATCTTCCGCCGGTTGAAACATCGCCGCACGTGACCGAGCCGTGCTGAGGTGGTGTGAAGTCCTCGCTGCAAGGAGCTGTAGAAAAAAAATCATATATGTCATCGATGTACTTAAATAAAAAGTGTCTATACTGAGAATAAATATCAGATTCTGTTAATTCCAGTCCACTCTTAAATACAAATCTTCAGTATTATTGAGTATTTTATAACAGTATCAGTGTGTGTGTTTTACAATTAGGTTTCCACGATCTAATTTCTTCTCGATTTTACATTAACCTTTATGACTGACGACTAAATTCATCATTGCCATCGCCAGAATGACATGTTTGTGGTTTGACTATGGTGGAATGGATATGTGTGGGCCTGTATGACAGCAGCATAGTTCGAGAAGTCGTGTCTGTATGGCAGCAACATAGTTCGTGAAGCTATAAATTGATCGTCGTGATATTTGGTAGGCGGGTAGTGGTTTTGGAATCGAAGTTCAAATTTCTAAATGGTTCTAGGTGAAGGTGATAATGGAATATAGAACAGAAAAAATCTGCAAGCATTGGTATCTAGGGATGTAACTTTTTTTTTAAATTAGTGCTGTCTGCCTGTAGTCAATCTGCATTTTTATAACCGGTATGACAGATGTATGGTCTTACACACCGGTACCGGCACGCGGCACAGCGGTAGCTGGCTGTATTACACCAACGGCTTGATACAGAGAGCCTTTGAATATCTTAACCCTAACACTATTGCCTTCGACAAGATTCTTTTTGACATTGTTTGACAGATTATGCACGCTAACTCTTGAAGGAATGGTCCAAGGTTCACGATTTTGGCAGGTGTATTGCGATTGGGCTGACCATTGGCCAAAATAGGCTTCGTGGGGGGTTCTTACTTTACTACAATTGACCTTTTGTGTTTGTGTTTTTTCTTGTTAACTAGATAACTAGAGAATCCTTAAATAGATGTTCATGATGAAAACTTCTTAAAAACTTTTTCTTACAAAACCCCAGTACAACTACAATCTGATTTGTTTGTTTTCCTTGTTATTGTTAATATTTTGTTTTAATCGTTAATTCTCATGTTAATTATTTAATCCGTTCAATCTGTAACAGCTACCTGAATTACAGGTATTAGACTTTTGTTTAATTATGTTTTAGTTAGTTTATACACTTCATTTATTATTTCTGTGTCTTGATTTTGTTTAATTAATCGTTGTTCAATTATTTCATTGTTTAATTTTGATGTTTAATTTGAATATGTTTTGTCATAAGTTATCTTTGCTTGGGGTAGGCCTCTAGAAAAACCACCCAGGTTTCTGGCCTACCCCGCACATTCTTTGATTATTATTGTTATTTGATTGTGTAATTGTTTTTAATATACGTGCAAATGGTAAATTAACAAATGATTTTTAGTTGGCAAGTTACCGTTGAGAGTAAGTTAGTAAGGTCAAGTTAGGGAAAGGGCCTCGTTGGGGGTCCCCGCGTCATTTTTTCTGGGCTAGTATTGGGTATAAGATCACATCCAATGTCTACTTGGCCTTAGTTGCGATATTGTTAATAGTATACTATTGCCAGATTTTTAAAAAAAGTATCATTTAAATTTTAATAGCATGCTGCTGGGCGTAAAGATTTAAGTAACCAGTAAATTTACGTACCAACGCACGAGAAGCCATCAGAACCCAGTTCGTATCCGTCTCTACAGGAGCAGCGGTAGCTCCCCAACTCGTCCGTACAGATGTGGTCACAGGGACCTCTTCCTCCGTTGGCAAGACACTCATCAACGTCTGACAGGACAACAGAATATCATCATACGCTTTAAACGAACAGACATGGACATTTTTATTAACGAAGCCTATTTTAAAATAGGCTACAGATGTTACAAATTTTTTTCTTCATTTCATACATTTAACGACCATTGGACGATTTTCTGTTTCCATTTATCCTGTTTTGGAAGAGCTGTGGTCACGGATGTTAGATTAAAGGTAAATAGGCTACTAGGAATGATGTGACGTTAATTTTAAGGCTCTCTGTCAGCTTGTTCTGGAACTGCTGTGGCGTTTTGATTAACATCTTGTGAATTAAGGCTACACGAGTTTCGATCTTAGAAGGGGACAACAGGTTCAATACAACCTTATCAGACATACCAAGCATAATAAGATGAAATGTTTTATGGAACCTCTTGTCCATCTTGAAACCTTGTCAAAATACAAGCCCCTGAGGTATATTTACTTAATATCCATGGCCGTACTCACCGACGCAGTTCCTTGACTCAGACAGCTGGTACCCATCCCGACAGGTACAGTGGAAGCTCCCATCAGTGTTCACACAGTCGTGTGCGCAGCCTCCGTTGTTACTGGAGCATTCGTTGATGTCTTGGTTAGAATAAAAGGTAGATTAGACTTGGTTTGATCAAATCCGTAGTAATCAAGAGGATTTAATAAAAAATCAAACAGTTCATAAACTTGATAATTGGTCACGAAAACCAATTGGATCTATAATTTTTTTTTCAACCTTTATTTCACCTTGAAAATGTACAGTACAATTTGATACATTTATAGCCGCGGCTAAGTTTTTATGTATCTTCTCCCAGTATCACTAATAATGATATGTGTTATTAATCTATATTAATTATGACTGAAAGATGTTGGGCATCATGTTTGAGAAAAGATATGGTTACCATGTGTATTAACATATTAAGTTGGGTTAATAAATTGTCAATCAAGTCATAAATAGATTTTAATTCTGTGGTACATTACTAGTCATGAAATCCTTAAAATTGCGAACCATACGAAATTACAAGGGCTTAACATGTCTTCACTCAAAGTTTTGTGGCCGAACAACCTTACCAACGCAGGTCCATGGCCCAGCCAGCCTGTATCCAGTCCGACAGGTACAGCGGTAGCTCCCAACGGTGTTCGTACAGCCGTGGTTACAGCCTCCGTTGTTACCGGAGCATTCGTTGGCGTCTTGGTTAAAAGAAAAAGTAGATTAGACTTGAGCTAATAGAATCTGTAGCAATCAAGAGCATCTGGTGTTAAAAAAACAACACATTGCATGACATATACTACAGATCTATAATTTGATACATTTATAGCCAAGGCAAATTTTGTATGACTTTTGTCTTAGTCTTACCAATGGTCATATGTATGTTATCAATTTATATCAACTGTAACTGAAAAGGTTGGGGCTATTATGTTTAAGAATAGATACTGTTACCACGTCTATAATGTTAAGCTGTGTTAATAAATGGCCAATCGATTAAAAAATAGATTTCAATTCTGCGGTACATTACTCGTCATAAAATCTTTCAAATTGCAAACCTTACGAAATTACAAGGGCTTAACATGTCTTCACTCAATGTTTTGTGGCCGAACAACCTTACCAACGCAGGTCCTTGACCCAGACAGCTCGTACCCAGTCCGACAGGTACAGTGGTAACTCCCATCAGTGTTCACACAGTTGTGTGCGCAGCCTCCGTTGTTACTGGAGCATTCGTTGACGTCTTAGTTGAAATAAAAGGTAGGTTTGACCTATGAGTTAATTGATCCGTGATGTAAAGGAAAAAAAAATCCATGACATTAAAAGTAAAACGCATTCTCTTTATATCACATTGTAGTCGAACATACTGTGCTCAGCTATTGTGCAGCTACAGAGCTAGAACCATCCATAGGTTACGAGTCGACTGCTGTGACGGCATAAATGATAATAGCGACCTAATTGTGCAGATTCGGACAGAAAATTGCTGTATGCGTAACTGTTGCTCCGTTCGATAGCTTTCCTCCAGCCTGTTCTGGATTAGTGTAGATTGCTTCTCCTACCGTAAGGGGGGGGGGGGTCTTTATTTACATTTATTTGTAAATATTTAGATTTTTGTTTGTTTTTAGATAAGGTTTGTGTCGTGTTATGTGTATGATATGGGCCGTCGAGCCTGAAATAATCATTAACTTCAGATCTATAATTTAATACATTTCTTACCCCGCCGCGTTTTTATCACTCTTGTGTAAGTCACACCAATAAAGATATGTATCTTTCAATCTGTATTAAGTGTGATTGAAAAAAAAGGTTTGGTATATGATGTTTGAGAATAGATATGGCTATACCACGTGTATTAACAAATGTTACTTTGTGTTTAATCTAAGCTCAATAATTAACTTACCTTTCTGACAAATGGATTTGAATACTGTGGTACAATACTCGTCATCAAAGGCCCAGACTCTGTACACAACATTCCACTTCCATAGGCCGCAGTTTTGATTTCCATTATTTGGTTGGCCCCCATGCCAGGGAATATGCGTAGCAGGTCTGCCACCGGGCCACCATTTCCACATCCCATTGTACTGAAATATAGATTACATTCTTAAACACATACTTAACCCTATCTAGACCGGGCTTTTTGGGGCTTGGTGGGACCGAGGGGGGGGACCCATTCGACCCCACCTCAGAACTCGCGAACGGTATGTCGTATGACCACCAAATTTTCAGAGGATGGGGTTATAGTAAAAATATATCATAACTACAATTTTTTGTCGTTATGACGTAATATGACGTCATTATGACGTCATTAATGTGATTATATTGGCCAAAACTGTCTAGATAGGTTATTCCCTGAAAACTAAATGGTATACAACATAACTTTACCAAAAGTGTTTATGACAGAATATTAGGGTATACTTAGTCTTATGTCGCCCATAGCAACACCGGTGACGTCATGCATATTTAAGCTATCTGCCGTCTTGGATCATCAATCTTGAATTTTCAAAAATAGTTTTTTTAGGATAAAGCCTAAAATACATTGTAAACAGACTAAAGACGATCATATGAGCCTATTTTTAAAAAATGGGAGTGTTGAGATTTTAAGGAAAATAACCTGTGTACACCTGCTCTAATGATACCGTCCACCATCTTGGATTTTGGCCAATGACGTCATTAAATTAGCCTAAATGACGCATTTTAATTATAAAATTTACAAAGAATTATATGGGATGTTATTAATATTAGAAACGATGTGTAACTTGACATAAAACCCATAAAATTCTATTGTTGGAATGAAAATTACTAAATTTAGCAAAAAATGCCTGTCAGAAACCCGTTGCCATGGCAACACAAATATTTTTTTTCTTATTCCAATGATAGAGTATTGTTGCCAACAATTTTCTAGGGAATGTCACCAACTTTAGCCGCTTTAGGGCTAGCCGTTAAGACGCTATGTGACATTAAAGTTGGCGCGGGCACTTTTAGCCCCCCTCGGTCTAGATAGGGTTAAAGACAAATAAATTAAACAAGAATAAAGGCGTTTGTAAGTATTGGCTGTTGCGGCATCAATTAATGGGATGCCGGCTAATGTCGTTGAATGACTTAATAGGTCCGTTTTAAATATGCCATTGTGTGTTCAAAATATGAAACTTCGGCGAACGATTTGATAGGTATGTTTTAGCATTCTTTTACATGTGCGAAAATACAAAGTGTCGGTGAATGACTTGTAAGGTCTCGTATTCAGCATGGAACGTTTATGAGTTTACAAGGCTCTTTGTAAAGATAATGCAAGTAACTGGAATGTACCTCCCGGAGTCCAGCCCAAAAGAGATGCCAGTAGTTGCCAAGAACATTCCGAGCGAGGTAGCTCTGAATATCCCAGTTAAAGCTACCGTCAGATGTCCCTTTACTGAAGTCCACAAGATGGCCACCACCGCAGCTATTCATTGCGTCCCAGTAGGACAACAAATTGTGGTTTACCCAGTAGTCATAGCCCCCATAACGGCCAGCAGTTACGCTACCTAGACATTAACATACAGTTTAATTTCATTACTTACCGATTATGCACGGGGTTTCTTGACAAACATGCACTTTCGTGTATAACTGTAATTTTATAGATATATGTCTTAATATTGCGCTTTATGACTTGGGCTGTTTAATAACAAAGCTGGACAAACTGGGTGAGCCTGAGCCAAAATGATAAAGATTATTCTTAGAATTTAAAGTGCACTTGTAACTTACTGCACCTTACGGTGTTTCACATTATTTTGAAGAAGTATGACCAAATTCTATCATTCGAAAAATATAATCCAAAAGATTCCAAATGACAAGTATTTTTTTGCTATAACCGTTAAGTCCCTTCTAAGGTACTGTACTCTATAACTTACTGTACCTTTAATTATTTAGTAATACGGCCTTTTGCAGCTATTGACGTAGTATAAGTAAATCATATATTTGCAAAATATTGTCCAAACTATTTGAAATGACCGATTAGTATTTTTGTCGTAATAACCGTAAAATCAGTTACAAACTAACGGCTTTAAATAATGTATTATCATTGCTACAAGCTGTACGTAAAGCCAACAGGAAACTTAAAAAAAACATGCTTCTCGTACGATTGTCATTGGTGTCATAAGCTTTCAATTTTTTAGAATGTTAATTTTGACAATGTTAAGGAGACTAGAATGCATTTGTCATGCCAGTTCTCCTACCTGTGTTGACAACCAACAGCAGCAGGACCGTCCACATCGCCATGGCTGCCCGCATCCTGTCAGGACAACTATGATAACTATTTTTATTAATAAGATTTCAGATTCAAATTAACAGGTTCTAATGTAAGATCATCGTGTTCTACAATCCAGAGTGTAAAGTTTTAGTTTTGTTCCAACACAAAAAGAAAGAACCTCACTGTGATTTTCTGTCGAAATTAACTCATTAAAAATGATTCACTCTCTGACTTTCCGGAAGTCAGAAGCGTAATGACGTCAGAAGTGATTCGAAACTAACCGAAAGACGGAATCTCCTACCACTTCCAGAAAGTCAGCAAAGAGATCATTTATGTAACTCAAATGTTGGCGAGTGTCTGTGAGTTTTTTCTTTCTGTGTTTGAACAAAGCTTCAACTCAACACTATAAATTTTCATGTCTTATGAACGGTAGACCCGATTGAACTGGTTATATATATGACTCCTGTCCGTTAACAAATTTAACAAAGAATGCTATTACGCATTTCCTTATAATTTATGCAGATGGTTTTGATTTTTAACGTTTCGCTCAACAGAGTTTAAGCCTAGGCCAGAACTCAAAATGGGGCGGGGCCCTCGCGGCGCCTCAGCAGCTGTTTTTTTCACTATCGGGCGGGGCCTGGACGGAGACCGGTGCAGTGGTGGGATTCACGGCGGCTACTGGCCTATTTTCGGCCCCGCGCGATCACCGAGTTGATTTTAATTCGAACTTCAATCACCCAGGACACCGGCGAGAAGAAATACTAGGCGTCGGTGTGTCCTTGGCGCTTATATATATATATACCGCTTCGAAAACACGACAATCAGGGACTCACCAGGATCATCCCTGCACCCGGTCAAGGAAACAACAGCTGCCGGGGGCCCGGAGTCTGTAGGGGGCCGGACTGTGAGAGTCGGCCCCCTACCGCACCCCGCACGTGTCAAGACGGGGGACTAACCAGGTATCGGACGAGTCCTTGAGAGAAACTGTAGTGTCTCAAATCATGCCCAGGCACGGTTTGCGACACTCGGCGCGTGCCCCAAACCATGCCTGTGGCAAATCTACGTTCTGAGACACATGGGGACTCTCCCTACCGTGTCTGACCGCGCACAGTTTTGGACACACAAGGGTCTTGTCCCATTTCGTGCTTTGGAAGAGGAGCTTATAATTAGTGTTTTGAGGAAGGATCCTTCTCGTGTTGTTTTTTAACTGTTTTAAGCCGCCATCTTTGTTTTTTCGTCGGGACAAGAATAGGAAAGAAACAGTTTATTTTCTGCTCTGTAAAGTACTTTTTTTTACATTTCACGGTGGTCTAGGCAAATACACAGTGTCTTGTATCATTCTGCATTTAAAGGTTTTATTAATTTCTATGGCCTCATCCATCTGAGAAGGTTAGATATTAAATTGCAAACGGTTCTTGATACAACACAACACAACACGTACGATAGGTGTTAAAGTTCTCGGCCTCACCTAGAAAATAAAGGGCAAACTCCTATTCTTTGGTATAACTGCGACGTCTTACGTCACTGCACACAAAAATGCACATTTTTATTTTCATAATCACGGCACGTGACGCCCCGTTAAAATGGGGAGGGTGAAGGAAAAAACACAAAATGACCGCAACAGAACCGTGTGCTATGATCAAAACTATCGATAAAAAGGGATGTCCCCTAAGGAAATCCATTAACACATGGTCAAGGCACTTGGTGATGACTCCCCTTTTTAGTCAACTTTAAAGAAGTGGGTTGCTAGCTACAAACGCGACAAAGAGAGCACCAAACATGGAAATTTATCAGGATGCCACAAATCAGCACCATGGACAATCCAGTTGAGGCCATCCATCACATGGTGAGAATGACAAATGTGAGACTGTCCGACATGAGTCTTTGGCCTGTGTTGTGACTAAGTTCACAATGTTTTGTCGGACATCCTGGGGATGAGCAAACTATCTGCAAAGTGGGTGCATAAAATGTTGTCTGAGCATAAGTTAATCAGATTGGACTTCTCAAGTAACGAATTCAGTCCAATCCATGCAATTTTCTCAAAACCTTTGTCACCCAAGATGAGCTGGGTTCACCACTTTCACCTCGAATCAAAACAACAGAGCAAACAATGAATGAAGAATGTTTCCCGGCCCTCAAAAAGTTTAGAAAGTTTTATCCGTTTACAGGCTTTTGGTCTCTGTTTCCTGGGACAGTAAGGGAGTAATGATTGGCTACCTGCGAAGAGGTTAAAGCATCAATACTATTCAACAGAATTGTGATAGTTGAGGACAACAATCAAAAAGAAAACGAGAGAAAATCACCGAGCTGGCTGGATAACAATGCACCCGTCCACACAGTGGGTCAGTGGCAGCATCAAACGAATTTGGCTTTCAAGTCCAATCCCACCCTTCCTATTCACCTGACCTAGCAGCGTCGTACTTCTACGTTTTCTTAAACTGAAGTTCCACTTACGTCGTCAACGTTTTAATAATAGTGATTACGTCGTCTATGCGGTTGGGCCCTATATATCTGGGGTCTCCAGATGCAACCTTCTTTCTCAAGGGGAAAACAAGGCTGGAGCATCACTGGACCAAGTGCATTGCAGTTAGAGAGGACCATGTTGAAAAATAGTTCAAGAAAAAATATTTCTTAAGGGACGTTTCTAGGTGAGGCCGAGAACGTACTAGGAAATTGACCTAAGCACAGTCCTGGAATCGGAAACAAGACTGTGCTTATCCGCCAAGCCTACGCACGAATCTGGATAGTCCTGACGCGTACCCGCGACAGACTAGAGCAAATAAACTTCTAGAAAAACAATATATGTGTTTGTCCATAGCTGCACGGCTTGGGACAGGCATATGCCTTGTCCCAAACCATGTCCACAAACCGTGTCTGGGGTAAATCTACATTCTGGGACACGCTGAGGTCTGTCCAGAACCGTGCCTGACCGCGTACAGTTTTGGACACGTAAGGGACTTGTTTTATTCCGTGCTTGGGGAGTGAACACAGTTCTCATAACATGTGTCCTACCAAAGCGAGTTTCTTTGTATATTATCAACTAAGTTTATATAGACCAGATAAGATAAGACTTAACCCTATCTAGACCGGGGGGGGGGCTTAAAGTGCCCGCGGCAACTTTGATGTCACCTAGCGTCTGAACGGCTAAAGCTAGAACCGCCAAATTTGGTGACTTTTCCTAAAATATTGTTGGCAACAAATCTGTATCAGTGGAATAAGATTATGATTTTTCTTGTTGCCATGGCAACGGGTTTCTGACAGGCATTTTTTGCCAAATTCAATTATTTCCATTTAAACAACAGAATTTTATGGGTTTTATGTCAAGTTACACATTGTTTCTAACATTAATAACATCACATATAATTATATGTAAATTATATCATTAAAATGCATAATTTATGCTAATTTGATGACGTCATTGGCCAAAATCCAAGATGGCGGACCATATCATTAGATCAGGTAAATGCAGCTTATTTTCCTTAAAATTTCATCAATACTCCCATTTTTTTTACAAGAAAGGTTCATATGAATGTCTTTAGTCTGTTTGCAATGTATTTTAGGCTTCATCCTGAAAAAAAAAACTATTTTTCAAAATTCAAGATTGATGATCCAAGATGGCGGATATGTAATATATGCATGACGTCATTTTAGGACGTCACCGGTGTTGCTATGGGCAACATAAGACTTAGTACATTCTAATATTCTGTCATAAACACTTTTGGTAAAGTTATGTCGTATACTGTTTAGTTTTCAGGGAATAACCTATCTAGACGGTTTTGGCCAATAAAATCACATTAATGACGTCATAATGACGTCATATGACGTCACAACGACATAAAAATTGTACGTATGATAAATTTTTACTAGTACATCATCCTCTGTAAATTTGGTGGTCCTACGATATACCGTTCTCGAGTTCTGAGGGGGGGGGGCGAATGAGCCCCCCCCCGGTCCCACCAAGCCCAAAAAAGCCCGGTCTAGATAGGGTTAAAGCCTAGGTCACAATTCAAGAAAGGGGCCCGCTCGGCGCGTGTTCGGCCTGTTTTTTGGCACTACCGAACGGGACCTGGACGGAGATCGGCGGGCTTCCCGACGGCTGCCGGCCTATTTTCGGCCCCGCGCGGTCGCCGAATTTATTTTAACTCAAACTTAAGGTCTCGGACCGGAGTTTCCTTCCGTATTTCGTGCAATTTGACACCCTCAGCCCGACGGCCTGTCATTTCTGTACTAAACGCGGGTCGGAATTTTTCACTCTTTTGGTGGAAAGGGGTGCCGTGCCGCTTATTAATACACTTGATTGATATTTTCTGCGCCCAATTTATTTAGGGGTAAATAAGGCACATCAAAGTACATTTTTAAATAAGGGGTCATTTTTTTCGTCATTTGTAACCATGGCTGCATGGAAAAAACGAATTTTCCCAGGGTAACGGCTTAGTACTCGAAGAAGCTCAGAACCTAATGTTTCCAAATTTTGAATTTAATTAAAATCGATGCGATAAGTTTATCGCTATCTTCGATGGCCCGAACACACCCAGAACGCATATAGAACGTACCATCCCGGCGGTCAGGCGAAACGGCGACATAACCATCCGCGCGGACTGATACCAGGAAGTCTTCGCTGGACCACCAACATTACGCCACCTATAAACGCTACAACTAACAGGCTTTTCAGAAAATACAAAGATATGTAAACAGATATTACGATTTCAGCGATATCGCGGCCAAAACATACCATACGTCACGTTTCCGGCGATTTACTGCGCACTTACTTAGACTCTGGTCAGATTTAAACTCCGACCTGGAACCTTAAAATCACTTCGGGCCCCGTTCGGCAAGGTACGCCGAAGCGACGCCGTAACCTCACTGCCCGGGAACCGTCGGGCGGCCGAACAGGCACCTGCCTGAGATTATGACGTCACATGTGCTGATCAGTGAAAAGGGGGTTATTGGGGGCATATGTTAACTCCTTCCTTAGACTACGTCGCACAGTTGACCGGTACCGCGTGTTTGTTACACCGTGTACTTGTCTGTCAGAATGCCGAAGGGCAAGAGAAAACAGCCGAGACGATAGCCCGGCATACATGTACTTCAGGAATGAACAGTGATATTGTGTTGCAATGTGGGCTACCCTGAAGGCAAACTCCAAGGATCGGTAGCTGTTCCCGGTCGCCAGGAATCGTAGGGTAATGGCAAGTATTTTAGACCTGTTGGCAAGGGCTGCCTGGCACTGCATAGAATTAAACAGAAGTGTTACATACAGACTATTTAAGTCGCAATGATGTTCACGACATAGCTCTATCATCAGTGACTCGTTCTGTCCGTACACGGGTCTCTGCGCATTAACCAGGGGCGAACCCACCATCGTCTTTTGCGAAGCACCAGTTCTGCCTACCTCTCTTCTTCAGCTACCAATGCCAGAAGACCAAGGTTGTACTTGGTGACGCGTTATCGCCAATCTCAACCTCAGACGGGCTTGCAAGTTGTCGGCAGGTTGCACTAAACGCTGCATCGCCAACTTCAGTGTACTCTTCACGTGACATGTCGTATTAGAAAACAAGTGAACATTGGCAGGCAGTGCAGCGCTTATATATAAATATACCGGCTCAAAAACACGACAGGAGCCCGTCGGGATCCCGCAAGGGACGCGACAGGATCCCCCTGGACCCCGCCAGGTATCTGACAGCTGCCCGGCCGAACTGTAAGAGCCGGTCGGCACCCTACCGAACGCCGCACGGGTCAAGACGGGAGACTGACCGGGTACCGGTCGGGTCCCTGACAGAAACCGGCCGCCAAGGGGACTAAAAGTTTATTAATATTAATTAGAAGCCGCCTCAACGCCGACCGGAGCACAACCAGACCCCGACAGGGAGCCGTAAAGGAACATATAATTGTGACCCTGACAGTCGGCGTCATGACATGCCCAACGGGCGCCGTTTCAAATTGGACCTAAGCATAAGCCTAGGTCACAAATCAAGAAAGGGGCCCGCTCGGCGCGTGTTCGGCCTATTTTTTTTTGCACTACCGAACGGGAGCTGGACGGAGACCGGCGGGCTTCCCGGCGGATGCCGGCCTATTTTTGGCCCCGCGCGGTTGCCGAATTGATTTGTGCTTATAAAGCTGGTTAAGGATGGGGTTTTGATACAAATAAAAAACAAGGCCAACATTTAGAAAGAAATCCCAAAGCACAAGATCTTTTACAATGTAAGGCCAGAAGTCACGCCTTACTGCAAAACATAGTTCAAAGCCTACAAACCTAAAACCAGAGGAAAGTCCTTTTTGGTATAATATTGGGGAATAATTAACATGTGAGCAATAATTTCCTGATAAGCCTATTTGATACATGAGAGGTGCATTTAAATTACATTGTATACGAAAGTTTTATCAACCATTTGTTTGCATGCATGTGATAAACGTGAATGACTAAAGGTTACAGGAAAACAATAAACACATTTTACACATGTATTCTCTTCCTACCTACATAAAACTATCAGATCTAAATTTTTATTACAAAACTACAACAAATCGGACAGAGCGGTGGCTCATAAGAATTTTCCAGTGCCACCGACGAAATGGTACCTGAAACGTCTGACCGTTTCCTAAATCATGTCCAGTTGCTCGAGTAATTTTTTGGCGTATCTTAGTACATCGATGTCTAACCTTTACCGACGGAACCAGGGAAAGATTTGCTTGTTACAGTTCTTAATATATTATTCCTTTCTGAAGTAAACCAATGCATTATTAGGCATCTCCATTAACTATGGCGGTCTGCATGGTGTATAAAACAACAGAACACAACTTACCTCACTTCTTCGCAGACGTAGCAGAAGACCGTGTCGCGTGGCTCTCCCCGAGCCTCCTGATGTTAGTGAAAAGTCGCTCTCATATATACACACCCTAAGTGTTAAACATACAGGGAAATGTCAACGGACGGAAAATTACATGTATGCCTTTATTTTCTGCATAAGTATCCACGTGTCCCAAAAAGTCTTGAATTTTTTAGTCTCTGGCCATGGAGACTACTGGACGAATAATATGTCTGCGTCACGGACTATAATGAATTAACATATAATAGCAGATTTTATAAAACATTGTCAAGTTGTCAACGACAAATTGCGTTGCGTAATATGTGGTGTAAAATTCTTGAGTGCCAAACAAACAAAAAACTTGAACCTATATCCTGAATTTCAAGCATGCAGTCATTGACTTTATTTAACTACAACCCCCGGGAGTGTGATTAAGATGATAATTAGACGTTGGTATTTACAAAGCTATTGTAGACCGTGTACCGATATGACAGAACCCAGATGCTGATTCTATGTAATTAGGTCCAGATGTTTTTCATACCAAAGTTTACGAAAGTTTGCTTGGTTTTTTTTCGTACATCCAGGATATCAAGTATAGAAGCGTGAAGTTTCTAATTAACGCTATGCATAGAAATATTGTCGGCAAACGTGAACTGCATACTATGCTTAAGACGACTGTTTAATGGTTATACCATACATTTTAAGAATATCGTTCACATACAAAATTAACAAAAAATAAATTCAAAGTTTCTACCAAAAAGGTATCCTTACGAAATAAGGATAATGGCTTTCTTGCAAAGAAAACATTACGCATAGTCGAAAAATTTTTAACATCATAAATTAGTACACAAAATATGTGGCAATGTCTGAACTTCTATTATGATTGTTAGAGTCTATAGCAATCTGTAATTGCTCAAGTGTATTTGCTGCAAATGGCGCATCTCTGTATCATAATGTTTATGAATTATTACTGTTTTGAATAGGCAGACCGTGTCTCAACGGACGAAAAGAGCCAAAAATTAATACACTTGTGTGGTGCGATTCATTTCACGTTATTAATGATTGGATATTAATTATCAGGAGTTTAAACCGATCCTTACAATGTTGCATTTGACTATTCCTTTTATATTTTTAACTTTAAAGATTTTTAAATTTAAAAAACAAAATAAATTTTAAATAATTTCTAATTTTTCAAAAGCATTCAAAAACTCATCATTTTTATCTATAATATTGAGTTTTTGCTTCGCTATCTGTAATGTTGATTATTTGTAATAATATACCTTGTGCATAGCCATTGCCTACACTCTAAATGCATATTCTGCGTAACAGATTGACTACAATATATTTATAAAATCCAATTGCGTATCAACAAGGACATTATATCTTAAATATTCTTAGTATCAACCTTAGAATAGTTCATTTTCATATTACTGCATCACCTGCATAGACATAGATGTCAATAAAATAACAGCCATTACGATAACAATGTAAAACTTCGTAGTACCAGGTTTTATTAACCCAATATTTTTTATATACAAAACGTTGTAAAGGTTAAGATTGTGAGATTAAAATAGCGATAGTTGACTGTCACTAATAGAAAATTTAAGAAAACGTGTTTCTGATTTTAGTACATTTCGGAATCTTAAATATAAGAAGACAATACAGTAACATCGTAATGAAAATGTAGTAGAATAAATTATAAATTGTCACATTGCCACCGACTATAGGCAAAAATACAAGTATTGATTTATTTGTATAAAAGGTGTGGTGAAGGGTGAAATTTATTGTGTATTTCAGCAATATTGAAGTTATTTCTTGAATCTTAAAGTATAGTATATTGCTACATTTTAGGAATAGCGACGATCCCTCCCTTACATGTATCTGCAGAAGCCTCAAAATATTGTTTTAAATTAAATGCCTTTGGCAACAGATGGGGAGTCTCATCTCGCTGTCTGTATAATGGAACTATATGGCATACCAGGATCACTGTGGCACATGGTTCCTACACTGGATGTTAGTATCATACTAATATAACATTTTAAAAATGTTCTAAACCCTGTAATAAAGCTACACGTTCTACAAAAGGTTTGCAAATACCTCTCAAAGTAACAATCGGTTGGATATTGGGGAAGCTGTGGCCTATACTTGATAGCAAGGATAAAGGTACATATTAAAGCACATTTGTATCTCTTCGCACAAGAAACATCTGGATTCTGTCATATCGGTCCACGGTCTACAATAGCTTTGTAAATACCAACTACTAATTAACATCTTGATCGCACTCCCGGGGGTTGTAGCTCAATAAAGTCAATGACTACATGCTTGAAATTCAGGATGTAGGTTCAAGTTTTCTATTTGTTTGGTACTCAAGAATTTTACACCATATATTATGCAGCGCAATTTGTCGTTGACAACTTGACAATGTTTTATAAAATCTACTTTGGTTTGTTGATTCATTACAGTCCGTGACTTAGATATATTATTCTAGGAGTTGTCTCCACCTTATTATTATAGATTGAAAAATTCAAGACTTTTTGGTACACGTGGATACTTATGCAGAAGATATAGGCATACATGTAATTTCCCGTCTGCTGACATTTCCCTGTATGTTTTACACTTTGGATGAGTATATATGTGAGCGACTTTTCACTAACATCAGGAGGCTCGGGGAGAGCCACGCGATACGGTCTTCGGCTACGTCTGCGAAGGAGTGAGGTAAGAAGTGTTCTGTTGTTTTATACATCATGCAGAACGCCATAGTTAATGGAGATGCCTTTTATTGAATCGGTTTACTTCAAAAAGAAAATCATACTTAAAAAATGTAACAAGCAACCCCTTGTCTGGTTTCATTGGTGAAGATTAGACATTTAGGTAATAAGATACGTCAAAACTTAATTAAGCAACTGGATATGATTTTGGCAACGGCCAAACGATTCAGGTAGCATCCACTTCCTTTATTAATGACACGAAAATTCCTAGGAACCACGTTTTTTTAGTCTTGTAGTACAAATTAAGAGCAGAATAGGATGATTTCTTAAATTATTCCGCAGTGTTATACAAAAAAGGACTGTTGACTGGCTTTGATCTTGTAGTTCTTCGTGTTAGACAGGAAGAAGTGTTTTCTGGGCACACCTTTTCAATATCTCGTGCTTTGGGATTCCCCTCTGAAGGCTGCCCTTGGCTTAAACCTGTATTAACACTCTGTATAACTAAACTTTGGTATGACCACCAATATACGCATCGTATTCATGAGGCGTTTTTCGGATTTAGTACGTCAAACGCAAACTATTATTAGCCTGTGGCTATTGACAGAATAGTCCTGTGAGTCACAGAAAGTCTTTGCACTACTGACAGGACCGCCCTGTTAATAACAGAAGGTATTGCATTGCTGACAGGATAGTACTGTTAGTAGTGAAACTCTTACTGCGCTCTCTCTGCGACCTAAAATTCCTGGAGCGGGGAGAGAGCGCGAACAGAGCGCGGACAGAACGTGAACAGAGTGCCAAGGTAGCAGTGTTTGTACTGTTTGAACCATTGTGTGCCCTGTGTGATCTCTGGGCGCTTTCACAGCGCTCTTACGGCGCACACGTTTGCATTGTCGTCCTCATGGCGATGGTATGACTGGGTTCACAGTCGCCGAATTCACGGCTCTCCTGGCGCTCTTAGGGCTCTCCATCATCGCGCTGCCATTGCGCTCTCATCGCGCCCTCACCACAAAATGCAAAACAATATCTAATTAATTAATTACACGTAGTAGCATTTGTATCAAGCTGTTATTATGTTCAAAACATAATAACAGTGTACTCGTTTTTAGACACACAGGAGATATGCAGGTGCAGGCTCTCGTTGTCATCGATCTGGCGTTAATGCTTCTGCTTAATGGACAAGGTATGCTTAGTTCTACTACCTAATGCGAGAGTCACTACCCGCCGTACATATTTTTTGGCTGTACGTTTTTTTTTGGAAAGCAACGCCCGCCGGTACTGGTTCGTACAATGAATCCGCAGCCCGAACGCAGAAAAAAAATCATTGGTCACAACGCACCGTACGTCCTTTTTTACCGGAAGTTTTTTTTTGGAGGCCACGTCTACTACGTTTTTCTGGAAACGTAGGGTGCACGGTTGCGCAAGATGTAAGTACGTGATCTGCACGTCACGCCTGGCCGTGAGCGGTTGCGTACACCGTTCTTTGCGCAAGTGGTACTAGTAAGTGAGTTCCACGTGCTTACAATCTACGATCTCTGTGCGATTGCCACGTTACCGCGTACAGGCCGTACCTACACGTGCTACGTACCTACGATTTCCTTACTCACCCGCACGTTACAAGTGCGTGCAGGTGCGACGTACCATTTGATTCTTCTTCTCTCCTCTTGTTATATTCCTCACTAGCCGCCATGTCGTCTTCAGCGGCCCGTTTCTTTTGTTTGCTCTTGTCTGGTTGTAGCTGCAAATGCCTTCTTCTGTGTCTTCTTGTGCATCTTGGAGACGGGTTGGCAGTCTTACGTCAAGTCGTCTTCATACACTGTAGAAATTAGGTGCGTTTCACGTGCGGAGCACCTAGTACGGTGCACGTGTGTTCTGCCTAGTCATTGAGCAGGTGAACTGGGGAGTGTGGAGTAAGCACGGAACACCAAACCAATGTGCACGGCACGCACGCGCTACATGTACTCTCTTCGTACAGAAATCGCCCGTGGGCACATAGAGTAAGTGCGTTGCACGCGCGTTGCCCCATCCAGCAGAAAAGTTAACTTAACCCTAGCCTATCAAGGCCGGGGGGAGGCTAAAAGTGCCCGCGCCAACTTTAATGTCAAATAGCGTCCGAACGGCTCGCCTTAGAACCGCCGAACTTGTTGAATTTCTCTAAAATATTGTTGGCAAAAATCTTGTATCAGTGGAATACGATAATGATTTCTGGTGTTCCCATGGTAACGGGTTTCTGATAGGCATGTTTTGCTTAATTTAGTCATTTTCGTTTTAACAATAGAATTTTAAGGGTTTTGTCAAGTAACACATGGTTTCTAATATTGATTATATCTCATTAATTTTAAGGGAATTTCATCAGCAGAATGTATGATTTATGCTTATTTCATGACGCCATTGGCCAACATTCTAGATGGTAGACCATATCATTAGATCAGGTTTCAACGGATTATTTTCCTACAAATGTCATCACTACTTCCTTTTCTTTTTACAAAGGTTCATATGAACTTACTTAGTCTTTTTCAATGTATTTCAGGTTTTATCTTGAATAATTTTTTTTTTCAAAATTAAAGTTTGATGATCTGAGATTGGGGTAGCTTGAATATGCATGACGTCATTTTATGACGTCACTCGTGTTGCTATTGGCAAAATAATCTTAGTACAGTCACCTTAATAAAATCGCATTAATGACGTCATAATGATGTCATGTTACGTCATAACGACATCAAAATTGTTATTATTTCTTTCTACTAGTACACAATCCTCTAAAAATTTGGTGATCATACGGTATACCGTTCACGAGTTTTAAGGGGTTAGGGCGAATAAGCACCCCCTCCCGTCCCACGAAGCCTAAAACAGCCCGGTCTAGATGAGGGCCTGCAAGCCCCTTTTCGTAAGGCGTAATCAGGCCGTTATAGACCTTGTAATTCGTAGGCAGCCTCCGCAAAATCAACGTAATTCGTAATCCGACATTAGCCGCAAACCGTAAAGTCGTAATGAGCTCTGAGACTTTAACGTAATTCGTAATAGGCGGCGACAATTTTGCGTAATTCGTAATCACTACCACCCCCCCCCCTGCAGGCCCTCCTAGATAAGGTTAAAGTTTGACGGCGTGTCTGCTCTCAAATCCGTTGGATTCTGTACGGAGGGGGTACTCACCAGCGACGGTCACAACCCGCCGTACGTGCTTCTTCGTGCTGTCTACGTGCAAAAACGTGGACAAACGTAGGGCATCCGTGCGTGGTGAGTACCACCTCCGTACGGAATCCTACGGATTTAGGAGCACGCGGACACGCCGTAGAACTTTAAGTGCATGTAAAACTTTTTCTACGTGCGGTCTGCGGATTTACCACCCGTGCGTGCGAGTACGTGCGACGCGCGTGCCCCGTACAGCCTATGAGCGTGCAACATACGGACTCCGTGAGTCTAACTTCACTATATTCACGTGCAATTGCTGTGCGGAAAGCGCACGAAGCACGTGCGTGCTACGCACGGTGCTTGCTTCATCCGTGCTTACTCCTCACTTCCCAGTTGACCTGCTCAATGACCACGCAGGCCACACGTGCACCATACCAGGTGGTCCGCACGTGCAACGCACGTGCAACGCACCTGATTTCTACAATATATAAAGACGACTTGACGGGAGACTGCCAACTCGTCTCCAAGATACCCAGGAAGGCTCAGAAGAAGACTACCAGACAAGACATAAAGAAACGGGCCGCGGAAGACACCAGGGCGGCTAGTGATGATGAAGTTAACAGGAGGTGCACGCATTTACAACGTGCGAGTGAGTACGGAAACCTTGCGTACGCCGCACGTGTAGGTACGGCCTGTACGCGGCAACCGCGAAGAGATCTTACGTTGTAAGCACGTACAACTCACTTACCACTTGCGCAACGTACGATGCACGCAACCGCTGACGGCCAGGCGTGTCGTGCAGACCACGTACGTACACCTTGCGCAACCGTGCGAGTGACGTACTCCCTCGGCCTGTCACCCTACGTTTTCAGAAAAACGTAGCAGACGTAGCCTCCAAAAAAAAACGTACGGACAAAAAGCACGCACGGCGGGTTGTGACCGTCGCTTTACGGATCCCCTACGTTTGCCCACGTTTTTGCACGTAGACAGCACACAGATGCACGTACGGCGGGTTGTGACCGAGAGTTAAGGAATCAATATAAGTTACTGGTAATGGTTTTAATTAAAGTTTCAAATGTCACCTCTGTTACTTTAGATAAATCTCAAATCATATGCACATTATTGAAATTGTAGGAATGTTTGATTTACCTATTGTCACTATAGGTTAAACCCTACCTAGACGGGGGGGGGGGGGTAAAAGTGCCCGCGCCAACTTTGATGTCACCTAGCGTCTGAACGGATAGCCGTACAACGGCCAAACTTTGTGACTTTTCCTAGAATATTGTTGGCAACAAATCTCTATCATTGGAATAAGATAATAATTTTTTGTGTTGCCATGGCAACGGGTTTCTGTCAGGCATTTTTTTGCTAAATTTAGTACTTTTTGTTTCAACAATAGAATTTTATTGGTTTTATGTCAAGTTACTCATGGTTTCTTATACTAATAACATCCCATATAATGTTATGTAAATTTTATCATTAAATATGCATAATTTATGCTAATTTGATGACGTCATTGGCCAAAATTTAAGATGGCGGACCATATCATTAGAACAGGTATATACAGGTTATTTTCATTAAAATTTCATCAATACTTCCATTTCTTGTTCCAAAAAAGGTTTAAATGAAGGTCTTTAGTATGTTTACAATGTATTTTAGGCTTTATCATGAAAAAAATATATTTTTGAAAATTCAAGATTGATGATCCAAGATGGCAGATATCTTCATATGTATGACGTCATTTTATGACGTCACGGGTGTTGCTATGGGCAACATATATATATAAGACTTAGTACACCATAATATTCTGTCATAAACACTTTTGGTACAGTTATGTTGAATACCATTTAGCTTTCAGGGAAAAACCTATTTAGACGGTTTTGGCCAATAAAGTCACATTAATGACGTCATATTACGTCATAACGACATAAAAATTGTATATATATGATAAATTTTCACTAGTACACCATTCTCTGAAAATTTGGTGGTCATACGACATACCGTTCGCAATTTCTTAGGGGGGGGGGGTCAAAAGAGCCCCTCCCCGGTCCCCCATGTCAAAAAAAGCCCGGTCTAGGTAGGGTTAAAGGACAAATAGAACAGATTCATTTTTGGGGCCTTTCAACCCAATATTATAGTTGTAAATGGTGATTTATTGGTTACTACCAACCCCGCACACATTTGCGGTAATAATTGACCCAAGTCCTAGCCTGGGTACCGTATTATTTCTATGCCGGGGATCGAGCTTCCACATTTGCTTCCCTCACAACTAGTGTGGAGACGGATCGATCAGTTTGGTCACCCAAGTCTTAGGAGCGCCCGATTAGCCCGCTAGGCGGCGCGGCGAAATAGTAAATAACGTCACCGTCCGATCCTGGCACTAGCGCAAACAAAATGGCGAGCGTGTCTGGATTAAGCGATGAGAATGTGTGAGATGGAGGTGACGTGGAGACATTGGAGTTTGGGGTACTTGCCTGGCCATGCCCTCTGTAAGAGAATGACTCTGTTGCCAGTACCTGCCAGAGCTGACAGACACTTTAAAGAGCGTAGGTACAGATCGCCGTTATATCAGAGACTGTCCTGGGTACAATGTGATTATTCATTCGGCAACCCTTCGAAATCTGATGATTTTTCGCTGGGACCTGTTCAGGCAGGGCGTGCAGGAGCTGGTGTCACGGGTCTGTACCGCGTATACAGTTTGTTTACGTCGCAACTACTAGTAACTCAATCCTTCGACGAATTTATTCACGTCGACCCGCATATGCCCCGATAAAACTACCTTCCCTGTGTTGTGTTTTTTAAGGATTTGTCAAAACCTCTTTGACCGCTATTTACCAGAAAATATTTGTATACCAATAAATCACCATTTACAAATATGATTTTGGATGGAAAGGCTAAAAAACTGAAATTATTTTATTCGTCCTTTAAACGTGAGTGATAGAAAAAAGGGTTTCAGTTGTATATGCTTCTTCATCAAAATAAATCATCTTACATGCACATCCATCGGTGGAAGTTCTAAACTAAACGCATTTTGTTCCAAAGGTTATGGGGACTTGACTAGAAATTATGATGGCTACCGCTATAGGGCGGTTATAGGGGACTACAACTACGATCAGGCCGAAGGAATGTGCCGTCATTATGGTGGACATCTTGCACATAGCAAAAGCTCCAGACAGCGAAACTTCTTGGAAAACCTGGCGAGGGATGCTGGTCGAAATGACTATTGGATTGGCCTCACCGATAGACAGGTATCGGCGAGATGTGCAGTTCCCAAAATTCCAATCGCACGCTAAGCAGTCTATTATGCAGTATTGGGAACCATATTCTGTGTATCATACCGAATAATAGTCATTCGATTAGAATAGCTTTTTTATTCTCCATAGGTTATAATTGCGAAAGCATGCTACGTTAAAAGTAAATACACATGATATACGATAACCTGCAAAATTAACACTGTAAGCCTTTATTAAAAGTCTGTATGAAAAATCACATCGTTGCACTTTTAGGTTTTGGAAAAGTGTACATTATGTTTTTTTTTAGACTGAAAATACTTGGAGATGGTCGGATGGATCTAGACTAAGCTACAGTTACTGGCATCCGGGACAGCCAGATAACCATAACGGAGAGGACTGTGTGGAGATGGACTCTGACGATTTTGACTTCCGTTGGAATGATCTGGATTGCCAGCATGATTACGAGGCTGCACTATGTCAAACCGGTATGGTGTTTCATTACTAGAAATGATCAACCAAGAAAGTCACCTTTAGTGACCTCAAAATATTTTACTTGACTTTGTAGGCAAAACTGTCAATACCTGTCACGTGCAATTGCTGTACGAAAAGCGCACGAAGCACGTGCGTGCTACGCACGGTGCTTGCTTCATCCGTGCTTTACTTCCCAGTTGACCTGCTCAATGACCACGCAGATCACACGTGCACCATACCAGGTGGTCCGCACGTGCAACGCACGTGCAACGCACCTGATTTCTACATTATATAAAGACCTAGGGCAAAAAAAAGTATATCAATACCTAGGGCAAAAAAGGGTTTCCTGTTTCAGTCCTGAGAAAAAAAATTAGGGTTGGCTGGTAGGTAGGGCTTTTTTATAGTTTTTTTTTTCTCAGATGTAAGATATCAAATGAGCCTACACAACACAGTTTAATAAAGTAAATGTTACATAGTACACTAAGTGTTATAGTTTCAATTTTAAAGTTAAATTTTGTGCTTTATGGTTACAAGTCACAAAGGTGTAAGATAACGGAGCTAAAAAAGATTGATCATTGCAGGGGTCCACACGGAAAAAGGCAAGGGCTTTTTCCTACGAGGTCTAAGCATCACCACAGTTTAAGCAATCGTGTTTTGGCTTCAAGGATTACTAGATTAGGCCGGTTGTTTGGATACTTAGTACCTGTTCTATTGTATGTTTACAACGTACAACTAACTAAGTGCACTGACAAATGCATATGCAGAGATTCTCGTTGAACTTTGACTAATGAATATACATAAATTTTTTTAATAAGGGCGGGAGCACCAGGTCTCCCGGTTTAATTACATAAATGATGTGTCTTCTCTTATTTTGATTACAAAAAGGGTATATTGTTGAATTTCGTTCAACTCAGACATCAACGAATGCTCCAGTAACAACGGAGGCTGCGCACACAACTGTGTGAATACTGACGGGAGTTACTACTGTACCTGTCGGACTGGGTACCAACTGTCTGGGTCAAGAAACTGCGTTGGTGAGTTATTAAAACAATTTCAAATGTGTTTAGAAGTGTAATTTTATTTTTACTTTGTGTACCAAAACTGTTTATGTGTTCGAGTAGGTAAACAGCATCGCTACTAGCCCTAGCCCTTTATACTTGATACGTTGTGTCCTAACAACTTACTCTGTGGCGTTTACTGGGTAAACATACAAATGACCGCCTAGGCCGACATTCATGTTCGAGTTTGGGCGTGTGTCTGCACGATGGCCACAGAGTTGTTTCGAACCCGAATCATGTTCCACCGTGTTCGATATGACGTCATTCGAATAGAACGCGTGTTCGAATTCTGGGTTACCGGCGGTCATTTGTATGTTTACCCTGTAAAAATACGTAACAACGCGTTGTTACGTATTTTATTCACAGAGTATGACTTAAACGGCTTTACGCGCAGCTGAAAACAGCATAATTGATCTTTAGAGTAATCCATGTTTACGTATTATCACTTTTTTATCAAATTTGTCCGAGGCTATTTGCATATAAGTCGATATTTTTTAACTGTGGCGATTTTTTAACGAAAAATGACAGAAAAATAGCTGTTTCTGTCGTTTTTGGCCCCAAAAAACAATGTAACTGTCATTTAAAACAAAATAGCCTCTGACGAAAATAATAGATAGGGGGTTGGCTTTCTACTTGTAAAATATCATGATGAAAGGTGTTGTTACCGCTTGCGCGTAAAGCCATGAAGTAAACAGCTTTTTTTAACCAAAATGTTGATTTTTAACCCAAAAATTCAAAAGTAGTAAAAACAAAATAACCTTTATTCAGTGTGTTTCAAGTACTACTAGAACTGTGTGAAGTTAAGTTGTGGTGCAACCAAGCTATCAAAAGTTACAGGCATATGTATGAAATACTACTCATAGTATGCCATAGGCTGCCTTAACCCAACCGAGTACGGAAAAACAACCCATGGATAAGTCGCACCATGAGAGTTTTGGGCTGTATATTTGGCAGAATAATTTAGTTTATTACAAAGGAATTTTTTTTTCATTTCTCTTCCCCAAAATGCTTAGACAAAAACGAGTGTTCCAGTAACAACGGCGGCTGTGATCACAACTGTGAGAACACGGGTGGCAGCTACACCTGTTCCTGTCGAGACGGATATCAGCTGTCAGGGTCACGGCAATGTGTTGGTAAGTACACTAAATACATCCCGTTACCTTCATCTTGAAAACATACTCCCTTCCGACCCAGTCAACGCAAATGACGCCACATTATGCATTTTACTTCTTACTGGTAGCCCCCCCTCTCCCATACTCTACTAACTGCCGTATCTTTGATATTGTGTTCAACTATATTCATCACTCTTGAAGATTGACCAATCTCATTCTGTATCTCATTTGTATCTCATTTGTATCATTATGACTGATATTATTTATATTTAAAAAAAATATAATTGTAGTTAGAAAAATTTATTTCAAAATCCAACGTAATTACAAAGATATCAATTAAATTTAAACAGGAAAAGACTAAACATAACTTTTTGACACCCCACTTAAATTGGTACCGTTCCAATGTCACATGTCACATGGTCACCGCAGATGATTGCCTTGATGATCTGTTTTTGTTTCCACGCCATCTTGTTTCACGCAACATAGAACCTGAAAACCTTATGAACCACCTCGTTTTCTCCGCTCACTTGGTGGTTTATTCGGTTGCTATCGCTAATGACCAGGAATTATCTCACCATATAAACCTAGAGGTTGGGGCATTTATCCTTTAATACAACGGTACCTAAAAAATAACTGCAGTTTGTCTTGTCATCATATATCAAGAACCAAACGTGTTAGAGAAAGAAAAAAAAATGTCACAAAGATTCATTCAGTCGTCGGAATAACTGTAAATTATGATCGCAATACCACATAGATTTGTGCTTTAACTTGCGGTTGGTTTCATGCAATGTCTTTTCGTTTCAGAGATCAACGAATGTTCAAGTAACCCCTGTCGTAATGGCGGAACCTGTCAGGATCTGATTAACGAGTACAGATGTGACTGCAGCTCTGAATGGACTGGGGTCAACTGCGAAACAGGTATAGGTTTGCCTTAAAAACTGTAAAAGCGTTCTTAAAACATTTTAAAGGAAGTAGACAAACGTATTCATGGTCTGGACGCCTCATAATGTAAAGGACAAGTTATTAAAGCAGTCGGAAAACAAGACTAGATGTTGACGATATTTTAATTTACGACCAAAGCGAGTGGTAAGACGCAGACATGCATACCTGACTATAAAATAAGTACACAAATGTTCTTGTACACTTTTTTTCGGTTGTTGTTAAGCCATTTTGAGTACATAAAGACCTGTGTAGCTCTTTGTAAAAGGCTGAATGTTAATAGGACTAAAATACGTTTTTTTTGGGGGGGGGGGTTAAAGATGGGCAAAAGGAGGTCACTCTCCTTTTTTAAATGTTGACCAGGTTTAATTTTCTGGTTCAATTTCAGATGTGGATGAGTGCATTATCAATGGCGGACAGGGTCCGTGTGACCCTAACCATGGCATCTGCCGTAATTTGCCAGGAAGCTACCGTTGCTGGTGCCAGGTTGGATTTGAGATCAAGGAAGACCACCACGGGTGCAAAGGTAAAAAAAATTCTTTTACAAGAGGTAAAAAAATTCTTTATAACTTTTTTTTTCTACTAGTATGATTTTGTCGTTTTGTTTCTTATATCTGCATTCATTATTGAAGTTCAAAGAAGTAGTGATTATGAAATTCATTTCATGGCTATGTTGATGCCAGAAAATTTAAATATACCATGAATGAAACATTAGGAATAAACGAGACATCAAAGTTCTCAAATATTACAAAACGATCATTTTAGGCCTATTTATCTAGTATATGTTTTTTTTCATGGTACCTAATAGGTGACCAGATACCATTGCAAGTATGTACAAAGCAGCTTTATAGTCATTTTGTTGCTAGTGATAGCTGCCCTTCCAAACATTAAAACTTGGCTTTACATCGAATTTTACTTGTGCAAATACGTGCAATGCTCATACTCTGTTGTGTTGTCTTGCTAGACGTTGATGAGTGCGAGGACGGAACAGGCCCCTGTGATCACACATGTATAGACATGTTGGGGAGTTTCCGCTGCTCTTGTAGAGACGGATATGACCTGGGCTCTGATGGCTTCTCATGTGTGGGTGCGTATACATCTCTGCAAAAATGAATAATTGATTTTGACATGCTGATAAATTGTATTTACAGCAATGCTAGGTCCCCTCAGCCAATAGGGAGCCTGAATTTCTAGTTATCATATCCACATAGTAGCCTTCTTGCGAGTTAGTGCACCTCTCTCCATTGCGTAGAGGTGCACTAACTGACCAGCCACCCTCTTTTCAGCCAACCAGTGAGCCAGAATTAAACCATCTCTTGGGATAGCAGTGCTATAGCTAACACAATAAACCTACCTTTTAAACGCCTACTGTTGTATCCATGGAAACAACAGCTGGCCAATGGCCATGTCCTTTGTAGGAGACAATAAGTGACACTGAAAAAGGTTCAGAAAGCAAAATCAAGTACTAGACATTGGATAAAGTTTAGAGCACGTTTAAAGGGCTGTATACTTGGATATACAACTGCTCTGCCTAACATGGGGGATTTTAAGTTACCCCCGGCGTCTGGAGACTTGAAATCATCTTGATGGACGGAGCCGTTCTATATACACGTAGCCAGCCTTAAACCTTGCTCTATAATCTATCTATTACGTGGCACTAACGTTATAACTGTTCATCCCTAGATGCAGACAATTGCAGATCCAACCCTTGTGAGAATGGAGGGATCTGCCTTAATGGAAATGGAAACTACACTTGTCAATGCCCAAGTGGATTCAAAGGAGACACATGTGAATTCGGTAAGGCAATATATGTATTTTTATGCTCATTTTCTCGGGCTATGCTTCATAGTCCACCAATAGCATTGAAAAGATGTTGACTAGGATCTACCATCTGCTTACGTATAGAATATAACAGCTTTTTTCCGTATTGCCTGACGTATCAGCCTGAATCGGTTGGGAGGGGACCTCGGGCGATACAGAATACACCATATTGTATTTTTATGTTTATATATTTAGAAACACAGTTTTTTTCTGTGATACTCACCCTGGATGAAAAATGAGCAAAAATCTTGTGTCCATAAACCAGAAAATGCAACAACATCAATTCCAACGTCCTAATATTGTTTTCGAAGTTTCGGAAGGGCGAAATCGTTCAAAAGAAGCCACATTAGCCCAGGCCGTACCAAAGTACCGTACCGTTATAAAATACTCCCAGGTAAAATACTCGGGCGTCGGGCGATGCGACTCGTGGTCAAGCCGATACCTCAGGCGATACGGTATGCCCCATGTTGTATTCTACATTTAAGTCATACCTTAGCCGCGATTACATTTGGGTCTTCCAACCAAATGTAATCGGGTCTTGGGTCTTCCACCCTTGGAATAACTAGCGATACAGTCCGGAGTTCAATTTATTAACACACGCGATTTCAAATGTTTGATAGTCGTTTCTTCCAAACGCCTTTCGCCTGAACAGCATGCGCCACTTTCGAAAACTGGATCCGGACGTTGGAATCGAGTGTTTTATTCTTATTCATTGCATCATTTCCGTCCATTGTAGCATAAGATTAACAGCAAATAGTATATTTATCAATCAGTGACTATTTTAAAAAAAGAAAGCAGATATACGCGTATACGCGTACCTCCAAATTTTCGAAATGTTGGGAGCTGCCTGGGAAAATAATATTTACCCCTACTCTGCAAGTAGGCGGGGTATTTTCTTGTTCTTTCGAGACTAGGTCACTCCATGATCATGACATAAGAGTAAGAATATTTGGAGTTACGGGTTCCCAACTTTCAAAAACAGTCACCGATTGATGTATATTCTACTAAAAACCTCATTCCGCATTGAAAAGAATGTTTCTATTTATATGAAATTAATAAAATGAAACGTGGTGTATTCCTCATCACTCCCTCGGCCACCCTTGGTCCTAGCCCTCCCTTCAGACTTCCGGCGTCGGGTCCGATTTGCGGTCGTGCTGGACCGCGGGCGATACGGAATTCCGGAATACACTGTTTTGTATTCTATGTCTTGTATTAAATGTTGTGGCCTCTAAAGTAAGATGCACTGCAAGTCCTAAAACACTGCGAAGACATTTTGTATCGATGATACATTTAACCCACAAACACCCGAACGGGGTCATTTGGACCCCAGGCGTATATTCTATGTGCTATTTGATTTTTTTTCATTCGAAAAAAATCCTCCCGTGACTTTGTCGATAAAACTATTCTACAAGTTTTCCTTTTTTTGAGATCGGCACATATTTGTAAAAATTACAACGAAAGATTTATGTAAGACTGTCCAAACGGACCCCAGCCATGTATTTGCACTTTCCTACACGCAAAATTGTTTGGATGTCCTCAATATGTCTTCAAGGAAGCATTATTGCTTTAATATCATGCAGTTTTCCAAGTAACCTCAACCTCAGGAATTATGTCATCAGGTTTTCAGAGGTTTGACAATTTGACAATCATATGAGGTCAAAGGTCAACCCCATGTTCATCCCTGCAGGCTTCATCCTATTTTTTGCATAAATTATGATAATGAGCTGGAATTTTTAACACTTAACTTACTTTATGCCAAAATATACCTCTTACTATGTTTAACCAATATATGTGCAAAGATTACTGAAAGAATGCAAAAAGGAATATAAATTTGAAAGAAACCAAACGGGGTCCATTTGGACCCCGTTCGGGCATTAACGTCACAAAGAAAGTTCGGGTGTTTTTTTTTTTTTTATTTGCAAATTGGACATGGAGAATACAAGACATGGTGATGAGGTACTCTAGCTATAGCTAATTTTAGCCTCACCACCAAACATAGAATACAATTACACTACATAACAAAAAACAGAGAACAGCAAGTGGGTGGGATGGGTCGTTAAGTAGTACAAAGAAATGTTTAGTAGGCTATATAAGAAATCAATCAAGTACAAACCGTTTGGTGTCAACAATATAAGTTTGAGTGGTTAGCAAGATATTACAGTTTGTATCATAGTATAAATCAGGTAATCCTCTAAGTAAAATATCACATAACAATTGTTCAAACATATTGAAAACATCAAAATCAAAGCCTACCAAATTCTGGAGATTGCTGAGTAGGGTGACTCTTTGTTGATTATATAAAGGGCAGTGTAAAAGAAAATGTATGACACTCTCACAACGATCGGGTGTTTGAGGGTTAATCGAATGTTCTACAAATACATACTCACAGCTCCTTGCAGCGAGGACTATGAGCCACCTGAGCACGGCTCGGCCACTTGTGCTGATGTTTCCACCGGCGGTCGATTCTGCACTGTGGCCTGTAACGCCCGACACGACTTCGCCTGTAGACCTGCGGATGGTTACAAATGTGACGCGGAAGGCCAGTGGCACCAGGTCGGCAATCCAAACTGTGACGCTGCCGATCTACCTGAAGATGCACCATGGCCGGACTGTTCGAGTAAGTTTTGCTAAATGCCAAACGTATATGGCCAATCGAAAGGTTACTAGTTGAAAAAATTTGATTTGCATTTTTGTGACGCGAAATACATTTATTTCTCAGAAATGCGATTGGCTTGGGCAAGTCAGATGCAGAACACAATGGGGTTCTACTACAACGGGGACTGCCAAAGCAACGTTGCTGGGATCCAGCAGATGTTTGAAGGCCTTCTCAACGACAATATCGATTTCGCAAGCTCGGGAGATGGAACCTGCACCGTTGAGAACATCAACGTTGAGTGCGGGACCGGGAACGCCCGGTCTGCCCCAGGTTTCGACGTGCAGTTTGACATCGTCGCCACCAGTACCTCACCACCTGAACAGATCACTACTGGGGATCAAACCAACCTGATATATGTCCTTGCAGACGTTTCTTTCCAAATTCAAGAAAAAATTTCGACTGGATCGTTACGGTATGCTAATGGTCTACACAATGGTCTAATTTCAAACATAGTGTTAAGTTTGCTTCGTGGGTAGATAGTTTGATGGAAAATAATACACCATGCATTTGTTAACGACAGTATATCCGTTACAGCTTGGAAATTGACGGCTCGGTGGCAGAAGGAACGTCATACGCGATGGTAGCTCCCCCAACATTTCAGACCGACTGTGAGGATGGGCAGATGACCGTGATAGAAACCTTCTCAGCCTATTGCCGTAAGTACCATCCTGATCTTATCATTAAACATTGCATTCGTTTTCTAAGATGTTTCCAACGGCAAATACTCGTGATACTGAAATTTGTATGTTGTTATCTAAAAATATAGTATCTTAAATTTGCCAACAACAGTTGACTGCCCAAGAGGGACCCACAAGCCTGCAAACGGCACCTCCTGTGTGAAGTGTGACTACCAGGAATACCAGGACGAGGAGGGACAGTCTTCCTGTAAACCCTGTCCGGCTGGAACTAACGCTGTCTTCAGGGGGGCTAAGGACATCACGGACTGTACAGCACGTATGTTGGCTTTAACTTTCTTTTATACTGTGCATACATAAAGCAAATGTTAAAGATAATTATCACATGCACATACAAAACATCATAGTTATAGAATATAGAATCGTAATAGATCTATACATTGTCATGGTACACAGTTTTGTGATTTTTTTGCAATCATCCCTTTTTCAGAATGTGTCGGTGATGAAGCACCATGTTCCGACTGTGATCTTGTTCGAGGGAGTTTCCACTGCAAGGTCAATTTTGTCGAATTCCCATGATTGTAGAGTTAAGTTCTGATCGTTTTAGTCCACTTGGCCAATCAACTTTATAACCCCACAGATTCCTAAGTTTCATTTATGTTTCCTTGTTTACTACTTTTCATTACTGCTTTTCATTATTGTAGATAGTATTATATTGTATTTTTTTGTTTTGTTTCATTAACCCGTTACCTAAGTTATTACTTATTTATCCGATTTATTTGAATTGTTAATCACGTTATGAAGAGAGGCCTCCTCATAAGCATCTTATGCTTCCCGCCTCCCTGCACTGTTACATTTCATTTATATTTTCTTGTATTTGTATTGTTACATTTTTTTAAAGTGCGAAATAAACTAAACGAAACTAAATTAAACTCAAAACTGGACTATTTTCTCGTACAATGTAATTGATCCTAATGTACTGATATCATAAACAAATTCAAAACATACAGATACGTTAGGTAACCGAATAATGTTATCTTATTGATTACATTTACAGTGCTCTGCAGGCTGGGCAGGCTCGAGTGACGGTCTGGTCTGTGGACGTGATGACGACTTGGACAGCTTTCCCGACGTCCCTATAACATGTGGGAACGAGACATGTATCATTGTAAGTGACACTGGGCGAATAGGCCTCGGATGCAGCCGGATCCCAAGGATGCGAATTTGCATCACCTTGCGGATGCTGCGCGGATCCCCAAGAATCCCAAGGATCGCTAATCCCACACCAAGAATCCCCAGGATTGCGGATCCCACACACATCCGTAACGCATACGTATGCATCCGTGCCTCACAACGGATGCAGATGCGGCATTTGTAGGGATACTTACTTCGCAGCGGATGCAGACACGGCATCCGTATGGATACTTACTCGTTACGTATACGTTAGAAATAATACGTCGTTAGGATAGGAGATGTCACATTTTTAGGGGTCGTGACCTGTCATATTTTTGGACCTCGAATACTACCGTTTATAACATAGATATAAGTGAGGCAATCCACTATAAACTGGATACAAGGATACTCGTATTCTTGGGAGTTTTTTTTAACATCCTTGGTCCCACTCCACAGCAGAAGCGAATTGTGGGTAATCTGGGGATTTCTTGAATATTTGAATTTGCTTTTTTACGCATCCCCGCGTCCACTCCACAGCAGAAGCGAATTGTGGGTAATCTGGGGATTTCTTGAATATTTGAATTTGCTTTTTTACGCATCCCCGCGTCCACTCCACAGCAGAAGCGAATTGTGGGTAATCTGGGGATTTGTTAAATATCCGAATTTGTTTTCGTACGCATCCGCGGGCCCACTCCACAGCAGAAGCGAATTCTGGGTAATCTGGGGATTTGTTAAATATCCGAATTTGTTTTCGTACGCATCCGCCGCGTCCACTCCACAGCAGAAGCGAATTGTGGGTAATCTGGGGATTTGTTAAATATCCGAATTTGTTTTCGTACGCATCCGCGGGCCCACTCCACAGCAGAAGCGAATTCTGGGTAATCTGGGGATTTGTTAAATATCCGAATTTGTTTTCGTACGCATCCGCGGGCCCACTCCACAGCAGAAGCGAATTGTGGGTAATCTGGGGATATCTTAAATATCCGAATTTGCTTTCGTACGCATCCGCAAATTGTTGAAATTACAATCGCCACAAGAGGGCGCACCCCGTAAATTGCCATATACGTACATTATAACGTTGCCTTTGCGCGTCGCATAAGCAAATGTCTGCTCGGATTCGTGACTGTACTGATTTTTGCTGATTGGAAACTTTGCGTATCAGACAAGAAGTTGGTTCACATACAACCTTGGCCGGTGTCAAAACCGAGCAATTCTCTTAAAGATCCACTTCTGTATTTTCGACGGATCCTCAGAGCACTTCCGGCAGCAGCAGTGCCTTGTGGGTAATCTGAGAAAACCCCGGGGGAGATTCAAACTCAACGGTCACTTTAAGTGACCGCTTGTTTGAGTGTCACTGTGCGTCCCTTTCTATCGTCCCGCTGTCCATATATATACGCTTCATGTAAGTTCAGCAACCACGGCATTGATTGTCAAAGTCTAGGATACTGACCGTACACCGACTGGATGCTATGAGCTATCAATGGCCGAGACAAGGACGAGAGACGTACCGGGGACATCGCCCGGCGAGGGCACGAAGCCGCCAGGCATGTCATGACAAGTTGCAGACTCGTCTGACGAACTGGACCATAAACCGACTGCATAAGACTGTTGACGGCATATAGAAGTGAGTAAACCCTTCGAAGCTCTTTTAATTAGTATAATGGTTTCAGATCATCAGTCTGACGAAAGTTTAGAGCAACTCAACTTCGCAACTCACATCTGTGGCCTTTATCTGACCTGTTGTTCCCATATGTAAAAACACCGGCCTTCTCACGGGGGTATTTCACATGTCCATGCTGGCTCGCATAACAATGCCTACTGCTGGCAGTCCGGGCCGCTGGGGAGACTGTTATCCTAATATAACGGTTTTTAGCACATTCTGGCCGAAATGCCATTTTTACACTGTACTTGTTTTCTGTTGTTGTGTTTTTTCGTAGGTCAGAAGCGACTGATTGAACGTGGTAAGACTGTCTTCAGCGGAGACTTCCACAAAGACCATCCTGATGTGGGACTAGGAGACAGGTGATGGCTGTAACAACACATGACATGGACTGTGAGACGACCATCCTGGCGAAGCAAGACGTGATAGTTCTAGTTTTACCTGTTTAGTATTGCAAATATTTATTTTACATATGTTACATGTATTCGTATAGTTAGTTCTCTCTTTTTTGTCGCTTTACGCAATATGAGTTTTAATAAAGGCTTTCAGGCTAACTCTATTCATTCGTTTATTCCTTCATTTATCTAATTTAACTTGCTTGTTGGGTCTGCACGTATACATATCAAACACGGGCGTATCCGGGGGAGAATGCCGTAAGGATTCGGGAAGATCCGAGGTACGGATAATAAAAATCCAAACGCCGGGTCTGTTTGCATCCGAGGCAAATGCAGAGAAATGTGTATGGAAATCCGATAGGTATACTGGAAAATCACAAGTTATATATGTACGTATCCGTGTAAAATACCGACGTCTGCACGTGGGGATCTATTGCATATCCGGAAAAATCCCTATTAAAAAAAATTCGCATCCGTAGAAAATCCCGATTTTTGCATTCTTTGGGATCCGGACAGTCCAGGTTACTCCAGGTGTACAAAAAATCCCTAAAGAAACAAATTGGAATCCGCGGAAAATCCCGCTTTGGAATGCTTTGGGATCCGGACAGTCCAGGTATACAAAAAAATCCCTCAAGAAACAAATTGGTATCCGTGGAAAATCCCATTTTGGGATATTTAGGGATCCAAACGTTCCGGATCCCTAAAAATGCAAATTTAGGATATTTTACGGATCCTACCCGTATCCGTTTGCATCCGCTTGTATCTGCTAAAAATGCGTAAATATCCCTGTGCGCATATGACTGCATTCGAGGCCTTTTCGCCCAGTGTGAGCGGTATCATCTGAAAGTTGAAATATGCAATTGAGATATAAGCAGCACTGTACTGTGGTGGGATTACCTTTATTGGCACAAAGTCCTTGACACTGGGCACGGAAATTGATTTGAAATACATGATTAATTTTACAGTGAATTGACGGTATACTGGCAGTCCGATTTATTTGCGTTCCTTTTGAAAAATGCTGGATCATAATATATTTACGTTCCCTGCAGGACAACTGCCCTGGAATCCACAACCCTGACCAACTGGACATGGACAGAGATGGGAAAGGAGACGTCTGTGACGAGGACATAGACGGTGATGGAGTCTTGAATGACAAGGTAGTAATGAGCCTTCCGTTTATAACGATCAACAGCACGATGGTCAAATTTGGGCCCAAATATTCCAACCTTTTAATCGAACCGAATCATGTTCGATATGACGTCATTCGAATCGAATCATGTTCGATATGACGTCAATCGAACCGAACGTTCGTTCGATCCCGGGTCACCCGCGGTCATGTACAGTAAACCCGCGGCTTCAAGCCCGTTTTTACACGGCTACCTCCTAACAGTAAAAAATCAAGTTTTTCACAAATATAAACCAATTTCGGGACAGTACATCTATGCCCTGTTTTATAGTTGATATGTAACATGTAACGAAGCTACTGCCGTCATCGTGTGTGACCTTGACGATCGTAATTGTTGTTTACTGGGATATAAGTTACCCCCTCTACTTACTCACCCTGCCTGACATGCTTGCAAACATGGTATTTAAACCACAACAAAAACAAATTCAATTTACCTCAGAAACGTTTTTAATTGTAGGCAAGACACAAATCTCGATCTGTGTCGGACGGATTTTTTTAAAGATGGCGGCATTCTGGAATTATCGGTCCTTGAAGTTGAAAAAGTGCATTTTTTGGCGAATTTTTCGGCCTTAGCAACACTTTAACTTTGAAAGAAAGAAAACTGTCCGACTTAAATTTTAATTTTGTTATACTGTTCCCTAAAATGCAAAAATGAGGGATTTTCTGGAAGATTTGGGGTCGGTTTAAATCAGTTGTTTGGTTATTGACGTCGATTGTTCTATAATAAGCATTCGACGCTTTGAGAGTGATTTCACCCACATTTAGGCATTGTAATAAAAACAACAACATTTGAGGTATATGCAGTGCTGATTTTATCACATTTGGACAATGGAGTCCCCGTGAAAATGTTAATTATTGCTTAACAGAATGTTAACCGTTGAGACTGGCCCCACGGAAGCCGCGCGTGGAACCCCGGTAACCTGATACCCCTCCGTAGAATTGGAAACTTTACCCTAGAAATTGACCGCCGTGCAGGTTAGGAAAATGACGCATTTTAGATATTCTTCTTTTTGATAGGAAATCTTTCCTACTGGCTTAATGGAGACTTTTAGATAAAATGTTTTCATTTCATACAGATTGATTGTGTTATTCAACGGTTACATCAACGATTTGGATAAGTTACAAATAACACCTTTTGACTTTATTTTTATCATAGGATAACTGCCCGCTGGTTCCCAACCCTGACCAGATCGACTCGGACGGTGATGGAGTTGGCAGCATGTGTGACAACTGTGTCTCCACCCCTAACCCTGACCAGGCTAACAGTGACGACACTGAAGGTGGGGATGCCTGTGAGGCAGCACTGCATGAAGAAATCGGTGAGTCGAACTTCGTAGGAAGTAGGTGGGTAAAAAAAAAAAAGAATGAACTGTTTGCATGGCTCATGGTGTTGAATAGATATTTCTTCTGATAGCGTTTTCTTTTGCGATTCAATAGTCACCACCTGACTTCTCTTTCTCGCTCGGGTTGGCTGGCAGACAGATAGTCTGGTAGACTCGAACAAAGACAGGAAAATACCCAAATAGTAGTCATTTTAGGATTTAAGGAACTACCGAATGTAAATTCAATGACAGATATCTCAAATATTTCTAATTAGGCAACACTGATTTCATTTTATGGGTGACATATTCCGTAAGAGAATTGAAAGACGCCCCCTAAAATAGCCTGGGTGCAATCGTCCGTATTCCATGGTAGTTAGCGACAATAGGGAGCCGCTGGTAACTACGAAGTACGGTATTCAGGCTGCCGAAGCTACACAAAAATCAGTACAGTGCAGACTCAATTTATATTGTAAATTTTTGGCCAGCATGTGCTAAGTACTACCACAAATTCCCAATAGCAGCTTATTTCCGTGGTTCAGCAGCCTTTATTTTTTTCCGGGTGGCTTTTATTTACCGGCACCTAGGTTAAGGGTCTTCAGAAAAAGCTATCCCTAAAATTAAGTCAGTTTGGCATTAAACATGAATAATTTCAGTCGTAATAGACATGTAAGTCACTCTAAGTAAGATACTCTATTACTGGTACCTTACAATGGTCGATGGACAGAAAGCAAAGAAGGGAACCTATGAGTACTTATTACCTCCGGGGGAGACATCCTTCCGCGGAAGGGTTTTGTGAGAGATTTAGATTTTCATGTTCGCAGCTGTTTCTCGCGTTTGGGTGGACGGATTCTTTTGAGACTCGGTATATGTTTTGCTATTGGGCTGTAGATGATGCACGTTCTTTTGTTTTTATTGTGCATTTGTTTTCGGGCGTAAAAATGGTGCCTTTTGGTGGCCCCAAAACACCCCTTTGAGCGTGAAAGTGGTCACGACCGTTGACCTTTGGCGTGTTTAAGCTATTCTCGGTCTGGTCCACGTATATAACCCCTCACACAGAGGGGTGTCCGGTCTCGATAAATTCTTTGTTTAAAACCCTGTATAAAAATATACAATAAAAAGCCCGGAGGTATAAAATCTCAGATTTTACTTGTTTAGAAACTGAAATCGCTTCATTTTTTTCTACCACAGCCAAGCTGTGTGAGAATGAGCCTGATGGAACCTACCTGCCCCATCCCCGTGACTGCTCCGGCTACATCCAGTGTCACCAGGCGGGACATGACGCTGTGTTCAGCTGTCCTCCGGGCACTCGCTGGAGCCAGGAGCTGCAAACTTGTGCCAGGGCGGATACGGTCACTTGTGACTAGAAATGGTAAGTGCGATACAGCCTGTGTTGCAAAGCGATAGTATAGTAACTCAGTAATTCCACAGACAAAATGTCAAAGGATCTTGAATTTCAATAAAACAATTTATACATTTTTTGTATTAACTGAAAATTCATTATTAATATGTATTTGGATGTCATCATCAAACCCCATGTCAAAGCATGGATATGCACAATTCTGAATCATACTGCATTATTATTATACATATACAATAATAGGTAAGCCTAATGGGTTGGGTTTCATGTGTATTCGTTATCTGACTCGTCTAGTGTAGGAGAAAATGAAAACCGTACTCCACCAGTACCCCCTGAGTTGATGTTTAAAACGTTGTTCGTTTTTATTACAGACGAACCAAACAAGACGGACCAGTCAGAACGGACCAACGAGACATGCATTTTTAGCAAATCTTTCTGCATTTAGTCTAGTACAAAGACGCAACGCTTTAGAGGCAAACGGAAGAAACTGCAACAGCTCGCCTTTTTCTCCTTTAGATGCTAATAAAGAGCTTAACTTTAAAATCCTGTCGTCGTAGTGTCCTCATTTTTTATTAATAATTGAATGTTTTTCAGAATTCGTTGTATTAAGATAGACGAAATTTTAATCAAGACATTTTAATCAAAATTTTTAGATGAGTCAGGAAAAGCAATATGGCGTCAAGGTCGAGACACACGATGTTATGTGGTTTTCAGCGGTGCGTGGCCCAGATCAAAATTCAATCCAGATTGCCACAAGTTGTGCACGCAGCTAAATCGTGACCGGCCCCAAATCTAACACATATGGGGACACATCCTCGATAAGGTAACGCACTCTGATTGGCCGAGTTGACATGGTCTCACAAACAAACAAATACGGGCAGTGGGAATCATTCATTCAACCCAGATCACACGTAGTAGATCACACGAAAGCTCGCTCGTCTGATCACACTCTGGATATTTCTTCTCAAAATTTTCTCATCTTCGCTCTGAATCTTCGGACTGAGACACCGTGCGCCCGCCGCCCCACATGGAGCCCTCTCGCCGCTGCTTCCACGAACAGCGAACGCCGTGCTCTACCCTCCGCCGCGAAAGACCTTTCCCAAGTCTGAATCTTTGGACTGAGACACCGTGCCCCCGCCGCGCCACGTGGAGCCCTCACCGCTGCGTCCACGAACTGTGAACGCCGTGCTCTACCCTCCGGAGGACCTTTCCCAAGTCGCGTCGCAACTGCTGCGGCTGATCGTACCGGAGCGTACCGGACAGAACGCTGCGGCCCGTGCAGAGCCTCCGGCCAGGAGTTCACCGACCTTTTGCGTCCTTGCTTGCGGTGAGTCTGTCATCTACTAGTAATACTTATTTGTCAGCATGGACAACGCCTTCATCACGGGTCACTCCTTCGTTTGCCGACTAGAGTCCTTTATACGGACCCGTACTACTACACAGTCCGGCCGAGCGGTGGCCCCTGATTTCTGGTTGTCAGAAGTAACTGTTGACTTCCACGGCATCCCTGGTTGCACAATCCCGCGATACAGATCTCGGCTACTCCCGTACATTAGAGACTTCCCTTCTGAGAGGGCCTGAAAGCCCTTTCTCGTAAGGCGTAATCAGGCCTTAGACTTCGTAATTCGTAGGCAGCCTCCGCAAAAATCAACGTAATTCGTAAGTGGACATTAGCCGCAAATCGTAAAGTCGTAATCAGCTCTGAGACTTTAACGTTATTCGTAATAGGCGGCAAAAAATTTGCGTAATTCGTAATCACTACCCCCCCCCCTTGCAGGCCCTCTTCTGACATTGTGTATATTGAACTGGGTCACAACGACTTGTGTCATGCGGACCTCTCCCCTCACCAAATTGCGCAAAACCTGGCGGACCTTGCATTCTCTATTCAATGCATCCCAGCTGTAAAATCTATCATCCTAGCAGAACCCATTTGGCGTTACACCGATCCGCCCAACATGCCCAACTTCCCGGAACGTTTGGCTGATTTCCGCCAGCATCTCTCGTCTGCCGTGGTTTCTGTATGGCGACACAAGCGCCTCTGGCGGAAGAACCCAAATTATTTCGCCCCTGACGGACTGCACCTCTCTGATTTTGGCAACCTACAATTTACAAGTCTGTTCGTGGGGCGCTCCTAAGCCAGTTGAAACGTGATTAGGCGTATTTCTGTCTATGAACTCGTGTTAACCATTGCATGAGTTTTTAGGGCGTAATTTACCCTTTGATGAGTTGTATCATAATTTTGCTATATATCCTGCTCATTTCGACTTTCCACATGTGATATGTAAATACTAAATTATCTCTTACCCACATGCCTATTTCTGTGGGATCAGTTTGTCTTGTACCGGAGTTCCGGAAGCTCGTATTGTCTGCGGTTGATCGTTGACTCTGGACTGACTACTGACTACCACTCGTAGCTCCGGGTTTAGAAGCGAAAAGACATTTTGCACAAGCAAAAAGGAGCTTTTGCTGGGAAAGCAGGAAGCCAACCCACCAGGGTGGCCCGTCTCGCCTGTTGCCATGATAACAGAGTGGTCTGTTTGAGATCCTCTTCACAGAGGCTGTTCCCAATTAGACCGTACCACGTGGTGTCACTCTGAGCTAACACGCGGTCAGTTTACGTTCAAGTCCAAGTTCGGTACGCAATTAAATGGTTGTGTTTGTCACTTCCGTGCCGCGTGGTGTCACTCTGAGCTAACACGCGGTCCGGACAGGTCGTGTACGCCAGACCTTCCTACAAATCTCTCCACTAAACCCTCTCCGACTTACACGAAATTCCCTCCCAACCCACCCAATATTTCCACGCTTAATTACAAACATATTTCTGTAGATAAAAGAATATATTTTACGGGCTTGCCCGGTTTACCCTGTTACCCGATAGCCTTTAAGTTAAATTATTTTATCACTTCCGTCATGCGCTCGCCACCCGCTCATGGCGTCATTCCTTACACCGAATAGCTCATTTGGCTTGTGTAGCTAATTCAGTTGTTTTACCGACTGACTATCGGTTATTTTATCACTGAATAGCCCGTTTGGCTGGTGTAGCTAATTCAGTTGTTTTACCGACTGACTATCGGTTATTTTATCACTGAATAGCCCGTTTGGCTGGTGTAGCTAATTCAATTGTTTTGCCGATTGACTATCGGTTATTTTATCACTGAATAGCCCGTTTAGGCTGGTAGTAGCTAATTCAATTGTTTTACCGACTGACTATCGGTTATTTTATCACTGAATAGCCCGTTTGGCTGGTGTAGCTAATTCAATTGTTTTGCCGATTGACTATCGGTTATTTTATCACTGAATAGCTCGTTTGGCTGGTGTAGCTATTTCAGCTCTCAAATGTAGCTATTGAGTTTCTTGGCATTATCCCGCGATACCGTACTAAAATACTACCAAAGCTCAGGGCCTCCTTTCCTCACATAGTTTTTGTCGAACTCGCACATACGTCTTGTGCAAACCGTATGCCCCCCGCCCCCCACTCGAGATTTCCAGGCCCGCGCTCGCGTTAACGAGTTCAGTCAAACTTTGCCCCCTCTCATTGATTCTATTTTCTCTGGCCCCACTTTCACCGGCCTTGTAACTAACTATACCCGAATTTCCACCTAATCTTGCCTGCTGATAGGATCTTACTTGGTTGTGTATGTATGTACATGTATACCTATTCTTAAAACCTTATTTCTGTCGCATATTTGCTCCATGCTGGCCCCTTTTCTGCTCACAATCTTAGTGAGCTTTTGGCGGTTTTTAGTTCTCAGCTTGTAATGTCGCTTATGTGATTACATATTTCTCAACATCATGACCACGTATATATATAACTGCTGTATACTGTTGACCGGATAGATAAATCCCATGGGGATTTTTCTTACGTATGTCGTCATCACAATGTCAATTCTATTCATGTCTAATAATTTACTTTTAATTCAAGTTCAAGTTCATACTCAAGTTTACGTTCAAGTCCAAGTTCAGTACGCAATTAAATGGTTGTGTTTCCGCCAAACATGAAAAACGTATCTGCCTTCTACCTTGTGTTTTCCCTTGACTTATTTGACTGGGACTCGCTTAGCGTAAAACTGATTTTTGTGCCGGGACAAAAATGTGGTTTTCAGCGGTGCGTGGCCCAGATCAAAATTCAATCCAGATTGCCACAAGTTGTGCACGCAGCTAAATCGTGACCGGCCCCAAATCTAACACATATGGGGACACATCCTCGATAAGGTAACGCACTCTGATTGGCCGAGTTGACATGGTCTCACAAACAAACAAATACGGGCAGTGGGAATCATTCATTCAACCCAGATCACACGTAGTAGATCACACGAAAGCTCGCTCGTCTGATCACACTCTGGATATTTCTTCTCAAAATTCCCCTCCACTCCCTCCCTAAAGTACCATTATCTGTTCTGTTGCAAAGTGTTGTCTCCGTTGGTACAATTTTCATTTGGCTGTACTGATACACCTTAATCCTACTTCCTTACCTCTGAGAGCTTTGATCGCAACTGATGGTGCAGATGACTTTTATTCCCGCACTGTTGCGTCCATTTCGTATCTGATGGTACAGTTTTGTGATAGCTGTACCGATACGCTCACAATCTATTATCTATGTGAACATTGATCGCAACTGATGGTGCAGATGACTTTATTCCTGCACTGTTGCGTCCTATTTCGTATCTGATGGTACGGTTTAATGATAGCTGTACTGATACGCTCCCAATCTATTATCTATGTGAACATTGATCGCAACTGATGGTGCAGATGACATTTATTCCTGCACTGTTGCGTCTATTTCGTATCTGATGGTACAGTTTAATGATAGCTGTACCGATACGCTCCCAATCTTATTATCTATGTGAACATTGATCGCAACTGATGGTGCAGATGACTTTTATTACCTGCACTGTTGCATCTATTTCGTATCTGATGGTACAGTTTAATGATAGCTGTACCGATACGCTCTCAATCTACTATCTATGTGAACATTGATCGCAACTGATGGTGCAGATGACATTTATTCCTGCACTGTTGCGTCTATTTCGTATCCGATGGTACAGTTTAATGTTAGCTGTACCGATACGCTCCCAATCTATTATCTATGTGAACATTGATGGCAACTGATGGTGCAGATGACATTTATTCCTGCACTGCTGCGCCTTTTCTCTTGTATCTTGTGGTGTAATTTTTCTCATAGCTGTACCGATACATCTTCGATACAAATATTTACCCCTCTATTTCTACACGATGACGCCTTTTCTTGTGCCATTTAGGCGTTTTACTTTACTTATGATTTCAACATTATTCAAGCCACCGGTCCCATCCGCGCAAACATTCTGCCATGCCTTGTCTCATGGAAAAATTTGCGGTTCATATGCGGGCGGAAACACAACCTTCTCCTTACACACATACTTACCTCGTTAGCCACTTCCTAATTTTATTTCCTCCCGAGTCCCCAGCTATGCCGGCCACGCGGTCACAGCGCCGCTCAGGAGGGGGTGCCGTGGACGACCCGCCACCCTCTGTCACCACCGTTCCCAAGACTGAGCCGCCGAAAAAGCCAAAGAATCCGACCGCCGGCCAGATTGAGGATACCCAGGCCCAGCTGAGCGCCCTCACGTCGGTAACGAGACGCTGCAGCAAAGCCTGGCCTCCATCGCCGCACATCTGGAAAATCTGCAAACGCCGACCACTGATTCCTACTGTCCCGCGGCAAATCTGAGATCCTACCTGTCGCTCAGGGGAGAGTGTGCGGGTTGCCTCTTTCTCCTTAGCGACGGTCGCCCCGTTTCTAGTGACCCTTTCTCTAACACCCTTCGCAAATGCATAGAACGTGCGCACTTAGACCCTTCAGGCTCCTTCCGCATAGGACTGCCACACACGCCGCCTCGAGCGGCGCCTCCGACGCCCAGCTACGGGCGTTAGGGCGATGGTCTTCAGATGCGTTTACAACGTACATACGCCCCTAGTACTCCATTCCTCCGACTTTCGCATATTGTCACGTTAGGCTATATGCCACACAGCCACTATTGTCTGTGACACGGACTTATATTATTTTTCAACTTAGATCACTCCCAGTTAGACCTGTTAGATCGTAGTTTGTAGCCACTGTAGTAGTTAGGCTACTTAGTGCACAACCCTCATTGAGTGTGTCATGGCCTTTCAATTACTTCCAACTTAGATCACTTCCTATTAGGTCTTAGTTCGTTATCACTGTAATAGTTAGGTAGTTACATTAGTGTAATAATTGTAGTGCAGTTACTGTAGTTAGGCTACATAGCCCACAGCCCATACTGTTCCTAACTTAGATCACTTTTGTTAGATGGTAGTCTGTAGCTACTATATTACTTATGCTCCTTACCACATATCCGCCTTTATATCTTGTACATACTGTACATGTGTTTTTAGTCGTCAGACCCAGAAGTCCTAGCTACTGTATTACTTATGCTCCTTACCACATATCCGTCTTTATATATCGCACATACTGCACATGTGTCTGTAGCTTCAGACCCAGAAGTCCTAGCTACTGTATTACTTATGCTCCTTACCACATATCCGTCTTTATATATCGTACATACTGTTCATGTGTCTGTAGCGTCAGACCCAGAGGTCCTAGCTACTGTATTACTTATGCTCCTTACCACATATCCGTCTTTATATATCGTACATACTGTAAATGTGTCTGTAGCGTCAGACCCAGAAGTCCTTGCATAATATCCGGTAGGATGCTCTCTTTGACAAAACCTCCAGGCGACCTGTACACTCTATTTGTACATCAGGAGTGAGAAAACACTCTTTTCTGCCGTTGCAGCATTGGGAAAATCCTACCTCCCCCCTCCCCTTCTTCCCACTTTGGCCCCCGGGAAGAAGAGGAGTTAGGGTTGGGGTAGCCGGCTGGCGGTATCTTCCTATTCACATGATTGACCGATCTCTGGCCACTGTGATTTTGTTATCAGAGCATTCTGCACGATCTTCACTTTTTCTCATATTATGTCCTTTCGTCTTTTCTTCATGCATTCCCGTAGTGATGGCGGTTTTTAGTTCTCAGCTTGTAATGTCGCTTATGTGATTACATATTTCTCAACATCATGACCACGTATATATATAACTGCTGTATACTGTTGACCGGATAGATAAATCCCATGGGGATTTTTCTTACGTATGTCGTCATCACAATGTCAATTCTATTCATGTCTAATAATTTACTTTTAATTCAAGTTCAAGTTCATACTCAAGTTTACGTTCAAGTTCAAGTTCAGTACGCAATCAAATGGTTGTGTTTCCGCCAAACATGAAAAACGTATCTGCCTTCTACCTTGTGTTTTCCCTTGACTTATTTGACTGGGACTCGCTTAGCGTAAAACTGATTTTTGTGCCGGGACAAAAAAAAAGGAAAACCGACATGTACAGTACACCGCGTTATATATTTTCCTGTATCATAAGTCGAAAGGTCGGAAACAAGCCTTGCTGTCCATATGCTTTTACCAGAACATGTACACGAAGATAAGAGTTTAGTATATGGGAAGGGAGCAATACTAAATTTTGTTACGTTAACATTCGATGGGCCTGCGATAATGACTTGAAAGGGTAGAAATAAATACTAAAATATGATATTCTTCATTTGATAATTAAAGACGAAGATGTATGTTTTTTGAAGTAGTTATTCTGATTTCCACTTTAACCAATTTATGACGGCATGTAGTCTACTTTTTTTGCTAAATGGTACTACGCATAAGCTCTTTAGACGGCCTGAAAAACGAAGATGCTTTGTTAACTTTTACTACCAAAAACCTTGTTATACTAAGGTCACATTTCCGAACCGGAGCCCGGCCAGGCTGTTTCGATGAACGAAAAATCAACAATTTATATCAATAACGTACGCAAAAAAAGTTCCCATTATTGATTTTTCAGCTTTTTGTGCTTTGTTTTCCTTTGTATCATAATTTTCGTTCTATAGGACTGCCCGGCCCGGCCACGGTTTGGAAATGTGACCTCAGCCTTAAGAAGGCCTAAAAGAAGCTAAATTCTACTGTCCATGACCCCTTTGGAAATGTTCAGCGTCCGGTTAGTATTTCTGACAAATAAAATCTTACTCTTTTAACCCATTAGAAAGGCCTAAAAGGCTGACATTTTTTTTCACCAAATTCTAATATTTATAACCCGAGGAAGGTCATGCGAAGACTACATGTATATATATATTATCTTTACCGAATTAAACTGAGTAAAACCTCTTAGGAAGGTGTATTGGAGGCTATAAATATAACACATTCTGGTGTTCTTTTCTGAGCACACATGTACTCTGGATTTGTACTTTATTACACAAATGTGCACAATGACTTATTAATTATCATGTCATTACAGTCTTAATCATTCGAAGCGGAAGTAGTAATTAGTTTAGAGTTTCTTAATCTGGCACTTAGCCAAGACAAAATCCTTAACCAGTAACATATAATGGTAGGAATTCCACGTGTGTCAAAAAGTAAAGTAAAACAGTTACAACAGAAACTACAGTCTGATAAACTTATCCCTTTTCTTTACTATGTTTGCGTATATGCAATCTGGTTTAGGAAGGTTATTCACGAATAAAGATAACAAAAAGGATAGTTTGTAAGATAGTCATAGATTTTCCGGGGTAATTTTTGATCCAGGAGGTGCGTTCATTAGACTTTTTATATCTAGTGCATATTAGACTTTTTATATATTGTGCTGGCAGGTATGCAAGTACAAGTTATCTGTTTGCTATGAACTGGACAGACACGTTTGACGCTAAACGCCGTAAGGTTACCCACTCATTCGTTTCCTGTCTGTTGTCGTCAGACAATGAGATTATCCATCTCCTTGTGCATTCCGATGCCTTCCGCCACAGTATGTTCTGGCGGCATTATGTGGACTAAGTCTTCTCCAGATAGTTTTAGATTTGTTTTTAATTGTATGTACTGTGTTTGTTGATATGGGCCATGGGCCTGATGCAAATAAATAGATAAATAAAATTTTTAATTATTTTGGAGCGGGCGCCCGGGAGAGGAAGGTTCTTTTATTTCTTGTGTGTACCTTCCGGTTCTGCTAGTGCATCATCCAAGTTGGCATCGCCATCGATCTCGTTGATGTTGTTCGGATCTCTGTTGATAAAGTCGAGCTCCTGAGGTCCTAACCCCTACATAAAAATAAATCTTATGTAGATTTATCTTGCAGAACCTCCTGTGCTGTAAGCTTACAAACAAACAAAACAAAACTATGTCATACCTGGGCCGCAAAAGCATTTGATATGGAGTTTCGACCTGTGTAATAACTATACCGTTTTGCATGCACAGAGTGCGCCGCTGTCGAAGATCGGAATACCGGGGCCGAACGTCGAACATGATGTTGATTTATTTTTACAGGCATGTTTGGCATTAAATTTGGAATTCAACCTGGAACAGTACAGTTTGGAATGAAAGCATGGACTGAAATATGCTTTATTTGCTTCCAGGTAAACATCTACCTTTCTGTTTAACCCTAT